AATGTCCCCCGGAAGACATGAGCGCCAAGTTTCAAAATATCACGAGGATACAAATTGCTGAGTGGTTGCGACTCGCAGCTCCAGGTGAAGACGATCTCAGCAGACCTTTTGCTGAGTGGGTGCCATGATCAAAGCTAGTTACCGATGAAGACCAACCAATCTCCTCCTTCACTATATTTCCGTTGCCATCGTTGGAACACATCACCGCACCCGAAAGCTGCACCATTTCAAATGACCCCAACCCGATTTCCGTTGCACAATGGTAAATACCACAGCTTTATTTGTTATCATACGAATAACTGCAACTGTGATCTGTCCATAGTTTGCGTGAACACTTGCGTCTGGCTAATCAATACCTACCCGAATTGTGGGTACACCCATTCATTTCTCCGGTTTCGGGAGTGATACTCGAGGCTTTGTCCATGCCTTCTGTCTTAGAAGACTAGACTTAGACAGACAAAAGACTGGGTTTAAAAGAGTGATTGGGTGGAGTGGGAGTTTACGCTCTACTGGAAGCAGAATCAGGCAGTAAAGGAAGCGAGGTTTGGCGTTTAAGCGACAAACGATGGGCTGTTTGCAGCACAATCAGGCTCCAAACCTAGAAACCGTAAAGTCCCAAAACCGCTCCGCCCACCAGCGTGTTGCATGTAGCAGCAATGCTCGCTTTTCATTTTGAAAAAGCATTTCACTCACAGCGGTCGTTTCTTTTTCCTTGTTCGACCATAAGCAATGTGTTATCAATCAATAAGGTTCTTTTGGCATGGAGTCGGTCGCAGGGATTAACACTTCTGAACTATCGTCCATACTCGTAATCAATGGATAAACGAAGGGGCCCATTTTGTGGGTTGCTGACGGAATCTTCCACATTTTCGCCATGGCGCACAAGTTAGCACCTCTTTCCTCTCCAATCCGACCCGGCGTCCATGGTGATCGCTGCCTCTCTTAAGTCAGCCTTGAGGTCGAACGATACACGATTAAAATACGTGAATTAGTGCTATGGCCAGCTTCAGTCGAACAAAAGGTCAGCTCGCGTCGCGTAATACAAAAAAATGGAGTATTCAAGGTCACAGCAGTCAGTAGAACGAGACACTCTCCAGGAGAGAGCAGACGAAGGCAGAACACCCATGCGGTTCAGAAACATGCAGCTTTTCAACAAACCTCGCCGCCATATAGTCGATTTCTCACCCTTACTCAACCTAATAAACTTGAGCTATGTTCCCCTTTGAAAAACGTGCCCTCAAAGCGTTCCTCATGATACTTCACTTCCAGCGCATCAAGTCTTTTCTTGAGCAGCCTTGGCTGATAAACGAAAGAAAGAAAGAGTTCCCTCCTTCCTCTTCGCGATGAGAATAGAGCATATGGCCGTTTAATGTTGCAACTTTTGTGCCTCAACATTTCCAAGGCAATACCTTCTGTTCGACTCGCTGGTAGGCAAAGCTGATTCAGGAAAGGGGCAAACTGAACCTGAAGGTAGTAGGTATTTATTAAAGTCAAGATGGAAATAGTAAGCAGAATCGTTTGTCAAGTCCTCATTTTTGATATGACCGCCCTCCTGTGGTGAATAAGTAGCTAAATAAATAGTTAGTCAAAGTCTTCACCCAAACAGTAACTTGAAGGCCTGTGTGAAGTTGCGAGAATGCACAGCTGTCGAAACACTGCACGTAGCTATTTTTAGAGTCCCAAAGTAAATAAATTTTCTATACTGAAGCAACAATATTTATTAAAAGCGTTATAAATTAACTTCATTGATCACATCGCTTTATAAACGCCCTTTGACGAAACAATATAACCCATATGTCGATAAAGAAAGGTAAACCTATAAGAGCAAGCAAAACAGATACTTATAAATAGGTTAACAATAGCTACTCCACATTCGCCAGCAGAGTGCAGACGAAAGGAGAACTTCGACGTCTCTTTCAGACTAGATTGCTTAACTGAACAGGAAGCTGTACGGGTATCCTCTATATTTGCTGCGGAAGATGGATAGCAATAGCGAGAAGAAAATCACGACAAGGCCCAAACCAACGTATGCAAGCACTAAAATAAACCTTTCACTGTTGAAGTTTTCAACCTGACTACCGTGGACTCACTATTGTTATTGATTCCGAAAAATGGCTTCGAGCTGGACGATTTCTTCCTCTCGGTTACCTCCACACTTGGACTTGCTGCCTCGTTGAGCAGAATGAAACCAAATGTGATGGCGGCGTATAGAGCACCAACAATGTAGGTCTCAGCAACAAGCTGGAAGCACTCGTATAGCATAAAGAACGGCTCTTCAATTGATTTAAGAGACAATTTCAATAAGGTGGAGTAACGCATAAGGTTGGAACATGCCTGGTACTGCGTCGATCCATGAATGAAACTGGCCTCTCGAGTTTGTGGATTGTTCATAATGAAAGGAGGACCACGGATATGGTTCCACATTTGACCAGACAGGAAAACAAATGTAATACACTGAAGAATCCTTGTTAGCAAACATTAAGTGGCGTGATAAGAGAAGCTAATGGTGAATGAAAGAGTAAAAGGGGGAAAAGAGGATTTCAAATTCACAACGCTTCTCATATTATACATGCAGATTATTGGATTCAAAGTGTTTCACAAGGCTAAACGAAAAGAATCATTTTCTGTGATCGGAGCATTATAACCACATACGTATGTTATATTTAT